TACTATTATTATTAATAATGTTTCTAAATAACTGATATTTTTCAAAATTCAAATCAACGTCATTTTTTAAATTTTTTAAATTGTTTTTATCCTCTTCATTCTTCATGTAGGATTTCCTCCCACTCGGATGCAGAAGGCCCTCTTGCACCATATCTTCTTTCCTTCCATGTTTGGAAATTAATCCAAAACTTATCATCCTTCACGCAATCATCCCTTCCGGTTTCAGCCACATATACTTTCTGGAAAAAAGGAAGGATAATGGTGAGTTAACGTTGAGAAAACTGTTCTTTTGCTGTTGTTTTTTGAGTACATTTAATCTAATCTAATCTACATACATCAAGCCTAGTTTCTAAAGTCAAATTCAAAAAACCTTGCTCCACTGCATGGTATGGTAAATTTTGCCAAAAAGGTTACCATTACATGCTAATTTTACAAACCTATTTCCCCAATTACATAATCCTATAGCACTGGTAGTTAGATACTAGTAAATAGATAACTAATAGGTTTTTTTTATTGGATCAGGCCATCCAAACATGGAAACCATAAAGTAATTGTTTAATCATATATAATCTTTTTATATAGAATGGAATTAATTTGATCTTGCAACAAGCAAGAAGTACAAATTATGTGTGATAATCTTACCACAAGAGCAGTGTGATGATGCACTGTACTCTCTAGAGTAGCATTGAACTTCACACCTAGCAGCCCACAAATCTTTGAAGAGAGCTCCTTGATTGAAGCTTTTTCCATGGCTGACCAGTTCCCAATTCCAAGTATCTGAGGTGGAGAGACATTTAATTTACTAAATTTATTATTTAAACACTTATTTAATCAAGAAGCATTTTGGATTGATGAAATTTTACCCTTCTCCTCTCTTCACTTCTCCAATATGTGAACTTTTTCCCCTCAAATTTGTCAACCTTGCTCATTAGCTCTTCAATTTTTAGCCCGTATGGTGAGTTCTCGAACTCAATCCGTAGTTGTTCCTTAATTCAAAATCATATCATAATATTGCATAAAACAAAATGTAGTGTATTTCTGAAAATATTTAGTGTTGTTATGCATATGTATGTATGTGTGTATGTACACACTTACAGTCTTGCTTTCATTGGTCTTGGGAAACCGTCCAAGTTGAATGTATGCCTTTGCCAATATTTTCGTTACATTTGTCTGTTATAATAGTTTTAGTAAGTAGATTATAAAAAAAGAATAAAGTCTTATGTGCCAAATATAACGCAAAAAATGCATGGTTGTTTATAAATAAATACTGACTGCATGGCTTGATTTGGCCAAGTCAAATTCTTGCTTGTCAAACTTGGAGCCCAGATTCTTTATTGCCTTCTCCATTGTTGCCTGCCGTTTCTGCACGTCTTTGACCATTTCTTTCAGCTCTCTCAATTCCTTTAGATCATCGTCTCCGTGTCCGGCTCTCTCAGTAAATTCGGGTCTTGCGTTTCGGAATCATCTGGCAAAAAAATGTCAAAGTTTATTCAGTACTATTATGTCTATGTACAGACAATTTCAGAACAATACTAAATATTAAAATGTAATATTGTTTACCGTCAAATATATTAGCAGGAAAGTTCCCACGGCCATACGGTCCTCTCCTCTGACTTTGTGCGTTTCTCGTGCTGCCGTTGAGGGCAATGTCAACATCGTTCAGCAAATTGTTTCGCCTACAGTGTTTCGGAAATTATAAGACCAGATATTCGAAATAATGATGAAACGCGTCAATTTTATTATATTTACCTGCGTGAAGCTCCCAATGCTCTTAATTCATTGGTTGTCATTTTTCAAATTAAATATGGCGCGAAATTTGGCCTTAAAAAACTCTGCTTTAAAATATGTTTTAGCAAAAGCATCCATGCGTTGTTGTCCTTTACTGGCTCGACCAATCAGGTACAAGTACCTACGTAAATCAACCAATCAAAATCGCTAAATGCGAAGCGGGAAAATTTTTTGCCAGGCAAGCACGTCGCGGGGAATTTAACAAAACAAAGGGATATTTAATTTGGTAAATAAAAATTCTTGATTTAATTTGAACGCAAAAATGAAAAAAAGAACATGTCGATATCATTGTGACATCTGTGCAGTTAATTTTGAGTCGTGGGATAGGTATTCTGTCCATTTAACCTCAAGAGGACATCGTATGAAACAGCTCGCGACAAGGACGACGACACAAAATATCCAGCTGGTTTCTGACACATTTGAACCCACCGACGTATATGCCACAAGTCAACAGGAATTTTTATTCATGCAAGAACCAATGTGCGAAGATATTAGCTTTGAGAATAACTCTGACAGTGGAAGCGACGATACTTTCAGTGACGTCGCCCTGAGCGACTCTGAGCCGGAGCAAAGCGATAGCGAGGAAGAAAGCGACAGAGAAAATATGCTACGACCATCTGAGCAAGGCAACGGCTTATACTTTCCGTTTCCGTCTGAGATATTTTTTCTGCTTTACAGCTACGTCCATAACGTTTCCCGACCGAAGGTAATTTTTCATTTATCATCAAAGAATTGAATTGAATAAAGCGATTTGACGATTTTTGCCCTGATGTAGTGTATGACGAAGTGTTTCTAGTTTTCAAAGCCGGGTTAACTTTACCATAACTCTGATCGCAGGTACTTCTGAATTCGCTCCACCGCGGATGGAGGACTAAAAAAAGCCACCAGCACCGCGAAAGGTTTCCTAAATAGCCGCGTAACAACACCAATAACAAGGCGTGAAACACATGTAAAAATAATGTGTTTTACGCCTTGTTATTGGTGTTGGGCGCACACATAGATAAAAGCCTCTATATAAGCGCCCTGGTCCTGGCGTATTATGCGTCTTTAGTAGTTGAAAACGGCCATTAATTATTTCAGTCTGGAGTAAAACATCAATTCTTGTCGTACAACCAGTCAAACACACACCGAACTACAGCAGCGAGTTTCATCTACAGATAAGTTGCAAGGTTTCCCTCTCCAAGATTATTTGTTTCATGCTAAAACAGTGTGCATGCATTGCACATGAACCTATTTCATAGCTTCTAGGGGCGGCAGAACAGGGGCTAAGAAGTACATTTGTAACAATTTTCAAATAAATTTTTAGAATATCGATACTATATTCGTATTTCTGGTTGGCATGGTTAAATTTTTTATCATTTTTTTATCATCAGTTACTGCTCTCCATTTTCATAACCAAATAGTTCGCAAAAGAAAACAATAATGCAATAGCTATTTATACCATCAATTGTAATCATTATAATCTAGTCAATTCTGCTATTTAAATTGCTACTTTCAGTCTCGTGCAGACCTAGATTTTCTGTGGATGATATTCAAGAAACTTCACGTAGATGTTCCTTCCCTTAATTCAGTGATTAATTTCAAAATTAAGGGAGTAGAGGAGTTACTACAGCCACAAAAGGTAAATATTACACGATGCGGTTGGGTTTCCATGTCTTCCTGTATTATATACAGATTAAAGCCCGACTAAGATCGTTAAAAAAAGGCCAATGTACAAAGTGCAATTAAGGCCATTTATTAACACAGGTAAACATTTCAATTTCTAGGATTATTACAACGGCTATCCATATTACTGGTTACGGCCTTCGGATATCGTTCAACTTCAACTCGCAATACCAACCAGAGCCAGTGCGCTTATGAGATTTCCAGAAGAGACGGACACGTATATTAACGAGATGCCACAGGTTAGATTTATAGGTACAACCATAGGCGTACGGGCAGATTTTCATACGTACGGGGGCTGGACTAAATTTGTCCGAAGACATGACGTCATAGATTTCGTGACGTCATCATAAAATTATATGATCTGAGAAGACCACAGGTGACAGACTTTCCTTTGAAAGGCTATCATTTACAGTCTGTGGATATGCGTAAGAATCGAAACCAAATCCAATCTACGCTATTTGTAGTAAACCTGTAAAAATTGAACTTGTTGAAATACCTCTAAATAGACCGTTGTAACGTCGTTGCCTGAATGACAAGACACGTTTTGCCCGAAAAGGAGGAGGGGGAGCCCAGCTTCACTTTCCCGTACGCCTATGGGTACAACTTTGTCCAAATGTTTTATACCATGCACACGAAGCAAGATAACGCGTACACTGAACTGCAGAATGAACAGTACATGTATTCCCTTTGATACAGGGACGCAAGTGGTTGGAAAACGAAGACTTTCAAAGCTCATCGATCTCTGTGAACGGAACGACGTATTATCTGAAAGATATCGTGAAATTTTTATCTGACGGGGATATATATATAGGAAAACTAACCAAATTCTTCGCTAAGGTAAGTGTGCAGTGCTTTAAAAACAGATTCCATTAAGATTGTCCGGCTTCCAGTCCTCTCCGAACACGGAACGGATGATGGGTTGTCGATTTTTTAGACCCATATATTAGGTTGGCTTTCCACGTTTACCTAGGAACTTTAGAGAATAAGGGGCTACGATTTTGGAAAGATAATCATACTCGAATCAGCTGAACTATATTTGTAACCGGCTTGCGACTTCTATAGTGTCAGTTTAATTTTAGGTCATTCGCAACCAAACGGAAATTTTGACAAAAATCGAATATATTCAAGATGAAGGGGATGGACGTTATTGCATTTGTCCAGATGTGATAGTGACCATCCATACTTCCAGTATCCAATGTAAAGTTGATCTACATCCTCGTCAAATAAAGCAGAAATATGTAAACGAACAAGCGTCTGAAGTATCAGAACAGGTTTGCGCAACTAATAAACTCCTAAACAGTAGCATATATTTATGTAAATCCATACGCGGTTTCTTGTTCTTTGTATAATAACGTTTTATTATTAAAACCTTTTTATCACAGGAAGCCAAAGACATTCTTGCACCACACGTCGACAGGATACAATCCGGTGGAAAAAATCCGACTTCCACAGTTCCGTTGCTCGTCTTTAGCGACGAAACAAGCGGAAACACAACGAAGAAATGGAATCGGTTGGAGAGTTTCTCGATGAGTTTGGCGGGCCTTCCACGAAACGAATTTCGAAAAATCGAAAACATTCACTTTATTAGCACATCTAACGTAGTTCCGTCTGTTGCACTTGGGAAATCCATTGCCTGTGACCTACAAGGTAGAGTCAAAATTTCAAATTATGGTTTAAAACGACAAAAAATAGTGCTACATGCTCAGTCTTTTTGTCTCATTTCGTTGCAGAACTCGAAGAAGGTAAATTAATGTACGACGCGCATTTTAATGAGAACATTTTGGTAAAGTCACCTGTATTATGCGTGTTAGCGGACAATCCACGGGCATCAGAATTCGAACATCACTTGGGAAGCTGTGCAAACAAATTTTGTAGAAAGTGTAAAGTACGTTAATTTCTATATACTTGATAAAAAGCAACTTCCAAATTCGTGACTCGAAATTCGCGGTTTCGGAAATCTAGAGGCAATAAATGGGGGAGAGGCTCTGCCCTTTTGCGTTTTAATACACGATTTACATGTTATACATGCATGTGTGCGCGAGGTTAAAACATTTAATTACACCATAGGCAACATCTGATAATGGAACAGAAATTCAAGAAATACGAAGTGATGAATACGTTCAAGAGAAGATCCATGAAATACAAGATTGTCCGTATGTTAATAAAAACCCGTTTATTTTAAAATTTTGACTTACCATAGAAATTTGAAACCGTATTTACCCACAGTAAAATTCTTGTTGCCAACACTAGAACTGAAAACCAGAAAAAAATTAAAAGAAGTGAATGCGGAGTAACAGAACAAGGCGGAGCGTTCGACAAGCTGAAGTGCTTTCGTGGAAATAAGTATGTATGCAGATACGGTTCGAAATGTGTGGCGACCCAAATGTGCGATTACTGGCATTTTCACCTTGCAAAACTTGTAGACAGTACATTACTACTGTCTACTACTACTACTGTCTACAATACTACAGTTGAAGGTGTTCTTTAGGTGGTAATAATACCCTTTTGTAAATTTGTGGATATAAGCAGCAACTTCTATAGCACCTGTTCTATTGTACTTTAATTACATTTTGCTTTTATTAGCAAAACTCCTATTGAAATACTGCATACAATTCTACTTGGGCCTGTTAAGTATATGCTATCCAACACAATTCAATCCCTACCTCAGCAATTGAAAAACCAGCTCCATGCAAAGATTCAAGCACTTGACATGAGTGCATTTTCAGCCACAATCAGGGGAAACATCACAAGAAACTATGGCTCATATGTTGGAAGAGATTACAAATTGTGGATGCAAGTTGCTGTCTTTGTTCTGCAAGATATCATTCCATTTGAACAACTCTTGGTCTGGGAATTGTTGAGCGAGGTATAACACCAGATACATAATACATGTGCTGAAAGGAATATAGGAAACATAACATATTAACAATTAACATATGCTTTTGGAATTAATTGTTAGACCTTGGTGACTGTCAATGCACTTTTGAGCAGCAGATAACTCTTCATAATCCTGTGAAAATGGAATCCAAAAATTCTCTATCTCAAGATCTTTATACCTATTCTATGTTCAATATTCATTGTAGATATTCATCTTAGCATATTCAAGTGAATTTGACAAGAGGAACTCAGAAGCAGCAAAGCAGCTAGTCCAAAAATTTACAAATGCAGTGGCAAGAACCTACCCTGAATTTCAAAAGAAGGCTAAAGTACATCTCCTGCTACATCTTGTTGATGACATTGAAAGCCTGGGGCCAGCAAATGGTTTCTGCACTGAAAGGTAAAACCACACATTAACGACAAGATTGAAAAAACAGTATACCTATATAATTATATAAACATGTTTACAAACTTTTAATACACCAAATAAATCGATATTTTAGATTTGAGGCCTTCAATCATTTCATCAGAGGATTAAATATAAACAGCAACAGGCATGCATCAAGCTTAGATATATGTACAAAATTTGCTAAGATGGAAAGGCTTCGCTTTGTCCTAAGAGGAGGAACATGGGGAAAAGACCACAGGTGACTATACTTGTAACAAACAAGTTTGCTATAGGCAATATATAGTTGATATCAGATGTGTTTGCAAGAATTGCTTCAGCTTGTCCATGTGCCTTGCATAATATTAATTCCATGTACTCTATATATAACATATTAGCTTACAAGCATCAGAATGCATCAAAAACTTGGCAAAAGAACCAAAGCTGCAACAATTTTTGGACAACATCCCAAAGAAGGAGAGCATGGAAGATAAAGCAATTTATCACCCTGGATGCTTAAGAAAAGTAAACAATTTGTAGTTTATTTCATATGTAGTTTAGTTCATATATAAATTATAATTTTGTAACAGAAATGAAGTTAAAACTTTAAAACATCAATAATTGACTGCCTCTTTGTTTTAGGGAAACTATGACAAAGGGAAACTGCAGACAAAGCCTCTGAGTGAGTGCCTAGAACAAGTCGCAATTGAAGCAGCTGGTCTCCCTTATGATACAGAAGTCACATCCTTTAAAGCTGTTCTTAGTGAGAGGCAAACTCTTATTAATTCAGGTTCAGCCATTGTATATGTGGATGACCAGCATCAGGTACATATAAGATTAATACAACATGAGTATATGAAACAAATGTTAGAGGCCTCAAATTCATTGTTACAAGGTTAACACATTAGTAACACCTGCAGTTATTATATAGTACCACAATAAGGCTTTACTGATGCATTCAAGATAATTGAACATATATTATAGGAATAACCAAATGTATTTACGTTCTCAAACTCTACAATTGACTTAATTCTTTGTAATTACATTCCGATCACCTTATATATACTTTTAATTTTATTATAACCATTGTTTTCCTGTTCAGTATAAGCATTGATATCTCATGCGTGGATGTCTCACAACAATCATATTTATATAATCTTAATTAAGTAACAATGAACTCACCAAAAATGTGCGCAAAAAATATTAATCAATCACTGCTTATTTCAGCATCATCTTGGTATTTTCAAAAAAGGAATCAAGATCAAAAATCCTGACCAAGAAGTTGTGGCAGTTGAGGAAGTGAGATTCGCCAAAGATGAATTGGAAAACCAAATATTCGGAGCATTTCAGTGTCCCAAGGTTGAACTAACTGGGCAAGTGAAATTGTTGTCACCTCAGTGTGTTATTGAACAAGTATGCCTCATCCATGATTGCTCTGCAGGAAGATGTTGTTATAAAGAGAGTCAAACAACTGTGACAGTTGAAAGGGAGGCTGTGAGTAAAGCAACATATAAGTTTGTTCACAACACAATCATTGTTACTACTTGGTGAACAAGTTTTATCTTGGGGAATCCCTTAAATATTTCAATATTTCATGAATCTATGTATGAACATATATGTAATCATAATATAGAATTATTACTACAGGGTGTGGTTTCAAATAATGTATTGCAGTAATTAGTAATTTGACAGTTAAGCCTAATGCATCCTCAAATTAATATTTTTTCTCTCTCAATTCAGACTCATATGAGTATAAGACCTTTGTTTTTATGGAGCTGTTTAATACTTTATTAAAGCAGTTAAAAACTGTTTTATATAAACTACTTTGAAGTTTGAATCGCAGGAGCTTTTATACACGGGAAGAAATATTTATTTGTCAAGCAGTTAGAGACTTAGAGTTAATTTACTTTGCTTATCTAAAAAGTTTAATATAAAGTCGTACCTTTGTATTTATTAAATTAAAATGAATACATTATTCCATTGGTGAAACGGATACTTTTCATTTTCGATCCGTCACAGGCATGGCGGCGCAGTGAACTGTAGCGGCGGCGGCGAACACCCCCCGGCCAAAGATTGAAAAAACAATGTTGTTGGAACAACATATTTTGAGCTGTTAAAACATCATTCAACATGCTTGTCATCATGCTGTTTTACGCAATGTTGAATCATCATTGTTTACGATTGTTGACATCGTAAATCACGCATGATATCAGATTGATTTGGGCTGTTGCAACAACTTGTTCAGGTCTTGTTCATCCATCAACCGTGAACAACATCGTTTTAACACGCACGAACAATATTGTTAACAAGCTTGTTGACAGGGTGCAGCACAACATTGTTCAATCCTGTCGAGAACAACCGCGAACAAGTTGATATCAACGTGCATCAACGCGTGCGTTTTTAGGCGTGTAGTACTTTAAACATTAAAACTGCGGCATAGACCTGATTTTGTTATGTCTTTCTTCAATATTTTCCAAGACAGAGTCTGGAGGATATCAGAGGAACGAGTTCCATAAGATGCCCCTGAAATAAGTCTTGCATCTATGTTTTGAAGCTTTTGGAGTTTGTGCATTATATATATTGCAGTTTGTGCTTGTTTGTAAAATTGTTTGCAAACTATTAAAGCCACGATAAGTCAAAACCCCTTCGGCTTCGACTTCGAATGCGGCAGATTCATATGCAAGCATTTTTAACGATGACGTATGGAAATAATTATCTTTTCTTTTTTTTGCGACCCATTTTATGCGATAGGATATTTTCAGCAACATAGAAAATTGTAAAAACCTGTTCCGAAAATTGAAAAGAGAACATCTTTTCAAAATAGCAATATGATGTGGTAACTCACATGGCTTATTATAACAGAGCAATGAAACTTCTTTTCTATCCGGACCTCAATAAGTATCTACCTAATATGAACCAGTTTTGTGATTGGCTTTTTGTAAAAATAGTGAACAGTGTTTAGTATTCGTTCCAGATCTTTTAGAAATCAATTTCTATAGTTCTTTGTGTTTTATTGTTATCATCAAACAAGAGCAAAGCTTGTTCATATAGATATGTAGCGACCTGTGCATATAACAGTAAATAAAATGCCTATGTTACTGCGCGCATTGATGCAAAAACTAGAGTGAAGAAAAACAAGGACAAATTCTGATCCGCGAGTAAAATTCAGCCAAGTGGAAAACAGGATTAAGTGGTAAGCAGCTACATAAGTTTTACAAACGTGGGCGTATTGATTTTAGTCAAGATGAATGCCCATGCGGTGTGTGTTGGAAGCCGCGATAATTTTTGAAATTTAATCTTTCGGAAATTCTAGGAACGAGAATTCTAGGCACCGATCGCAAAAGCACATCGTTTGGTTCTTACAATTTATGGAAATATAATATTCTTCTAATTCAAGAGAAATTAGAAAGTTTGTCCCCAAGATCTAGCTTTGGACTCTCTAGAATTGTGTTTCCTTGATAGGATTCTTGTAATAATGTGATAATTGTTGAATTTCGTTCTCTTAATTGAAAGATAACATTTCGTGCTTTTGTTATTTTCTTTGTTTCGAGCTCTTTTAGTACGTAGGCTGTGCTGTTGCTGTCGTAGCCAATATATAAACTTTACTTTCGCTGATCTGGAATCGAGCTTTCCTATGTTCACTTTTCTTTTCTTTACATAGACTGTGCAGCCAAATACTCTAAGGTGATTTCTTCCAGCAGCTGTTTTCCCTGTGAATAACTCGAAAAGACTTTTTCCTTCGTTGCTGTTTGCAGTCACAGATAGGTTTCGGATGTGTGTAGCAGTATCCAACGCTCCTACCAATTATTTCTTAAGTGGTTTTGTTTGTATGAGTAAGCACCGTCCTATTTCTACTATGGTACGATTGAAGCGCTCTGCGACTCCATTTTGCGGTGGTGTATCGGGAGCTGTAAATAAGTAAATTCTTGTTTGTCTTTGAGTTTCTGCAGAACCTCTTGAATTTAATTGAAGTGTACTCAGCTCCATTATCTGTTGCGTAATGTCCTCGGCGTTCCGTTTTCTGCAACATATTCAATGAATTGTCAAGAACTGATGACTTAATTGTGACTCATATACCTAACGATTACGTACTTCGTGTATTTGTCAATGAATGTAACTGCGTATTTTGATCCACTTAAACTATCTACTTCGAAAGGACCGAGGATGTCTGAGTAGATGCGTTCGAGAGCTTTCTTCGCTTTGTGTTCAACTTTCTTTGGAACGGGTTGGCTCGCTTGTTTTCCCATCGCACACGTTTCACATGGGTCCATAATCTCCCCTTGACAACTAACAGTACGCTTTACATCTGTTTTGTTCAGATGTCCAAGACGTTTGTGCCATAAATTGATATCTCTTTTGATGCTCTTTTTGGTTTCGTTACCAGCCTCGTTCCCAGGCTCTTGGAAGTTTTTGCGGATGCAGCACTGAGCGCGCGGGCGTGCTTGGGGAGGTTGGGAAGTCGCAGCCGGAGACGCGAAGTGCCTGGCAGAAAATGAATTTAATGATTCTGCTACCAAAATTGACTGTTTTGTTAACTGATAGTAGGTTGATTTTATAATTTGGCACGTACAGCACATTTCGTTGGATTATTTCTGCCGTTTTTCCACCCTTTAACTCGACTGTTATTGGAACATCGCCAATTCCTTCAATTGCTGTGAGGCTTCCTTTGGGATCTCGAACACTATTCTCATTTACTGTGCGTAGATTTATGAAAGCGTCTTTTTGCGAAATATTTCAGCAAACATATCTCCCGGACTCCAGCAATCCCAACTTAGATAAAAATTTCCTCAAATTTGATTCGTCATGATTACGTCATGAGATGCTCAGAGAAAATTAATTTATCACGCGGCTCTTTATCCACGTCGTATACCCTCGCCTAAACGTTTACCCTCGTTCTTTAAAAGGCAAAAAATTAAACCCTGATTCACATTTGAGTTAGAAATAAAGGTGTTTCCGCATAAAAAAATATTTAAAAATTTTTTAATTTTTTTTGTTTGGATAGCCTGGTGCAAACACGGCTTCGATGAATCAGAACACGCGTGCATGATATATTGATGTAATTTTGTATGGTTTAAGTTGTATAAATTCATATTTTAGTCAATATTTGTTCAACCATGTGTCGAACTGGAAGCAATTATTTGCCGCTTGTAAATAAACGTGTAGGGTTAATTTCTACAAGACGGAATTTTGCATGCAGAGGGAAATATTAATTTCTGATTTTTTTTTTACAAATCAGCAGCGGGCGGAATCTTAGCCTTTCCTGTAATCTGATTATATCTGATCACGGTCGGAAATCCTATATCAATTTAAAAAAATTGATCGAGCGAAATCGTATTTGTTTTCTTTTGTTTTCTAGATATTTCCTTACTAACTTTTGACTTATTTATTTTAAAATAAATGGACCAAATGATTATCCCGCTAAATTAAAGTGAAGATTAGTACTAAACAGGGGTGGATCCAGCACTAGTGCACTAATTTGCATTACAAAACAAAGTGGTTATTTTTAGCAGTTCTCTTGTGTCATGTAAATTAGTGAACTAGTACTGGATCCACCCCTGGTACTAAACGAATAAGGTTTTGATTGTTTATGTTTTTGCCGCACTGATTGCCGAGTCTGCACATTACTACACAATTATAAAACCGAGAGCTGCTTTTTTTTTAATTAAGGTGAATTTTAGTGCTAAACGAATAAAGTTTTGATTGTTTATGTTTTTGCAGCACTGATTGCCGAGTCTGCACATTACTACACAATTATAAAACCGAGAGCTGCTTTTTTTTTAATTAAGGTGAATTTTAGTGCTAAACGAATAAAGTTTTGATTGTTTATGTTTTTGCCGCACTGATTGCCGAGTCTGCACATCAATACACAATCATAAAACCGAAATCCGCTTTTTTTAAAAAATTAAATAAGTTATTTACCGTTTTGGTGAGGCTGGACACAAAAGTATTTCTCATCGTGCTCAGGGTAACACCTCGGGAAAATATTTTTCTATCCGGACTTCGCAGCCGGTAAATACCATATATTACTGCGCTCTTTCATGCAGAACTAGAGAGAGGAAAATAAAGGAAAATTCTGATCTGCGCGCAAAATTACGCCAAGTGGAAAACGGGCTAAAGTGGAAAGAAACTAGTTAAATTTTACAAACGTGGGCGTACTGATTTCAATGAGTATGAATTCCCGACCGACGAGTGTTCGCAGCTCCATTCAATTTCGAAATTAATTTTAATCCTTCGGAAATTCCAGGACGCTGTTTATTACAGTATTAATTGCTCAATTAGGTGAACCGATCGTGAAAGCACATCGTTTAGTTCTGAACGATTTAATGAAATTTAATATCCCCCTGATTCAGGGCTAATCTCTGCATGCCCACTAATTATTACTACAATTTTGATTTTATTGGTGATTGATTTTATTTTTTATGATTGATTTTATACAGAAAACGAGGTTCGTTCGATTTTTTCACGACTTAAGCAAATATTTAGACTTTTAAGCATTAATTTACGACATGTATGTGGGTATTTTAAGCGCGCTATTGGAAAGCAGACAATTT